ACACACACACACACACACACACACACACACACACACACACACACACAACCAGCTCTGATGTTCAAAGCCTGAGGCTGTATCCAATTATTCTGGGGCTCTGAACCCCATCCTGGGCTGATTCCAGCAGATTAAACCTTTAAACCCTAATGTTTAATCTTATAGGGGATAAAGCCTGCGTCTCTTTTTTTAAAAAAAAAAAATCTGCCCCAGCACTGGAAAGCTTAATTTTTATTCTTACGCACGCATTAAATTAGAACAGTCTGACCACTGAATGAGGCATAAGAGAATGGTATAGCATTTCAGCTCTGGTTTCTGCAGTCAGAGTTTCAAAATAAGAGGCAGGATGTCTTGCTCCCATCCTGCCTCTTATTTTGGATACCCCCATCTTCCCCCGACCCAACCACAAACAGCTCCCTCCATACAAAGACAAGATTCCTTAACTAAAACCAAAACATCATAGTTTTTTTCTTTAAAAAAATTTTTTCCGTGTTAATTCTGTTAGTATCCAAGCTAATGCTCTCCTTGCTCTTAAAAGCATCTGTTTGATGGTCTCCCTTGGGACCCTGGTTTTCTGGTCCCAGGTCTCTGCATTAATAGAAGTGAGGAAATCATTATGTCTTAGGAGTACTCCTAATCTGTTGGCAAAGTTTAATGCAGCTAGTGCCAGACAGTAAGATCAATGCTTTTGGAACTAGAAAACAAGGACATAGATGGTTGGACCATGATGTAGATGGCACTGTCCATGAATCTCACCCCATCCTCTGTGTGGCCCCATGTGCCAGTGCCTCCAAGCAGCCTTCGGAAGAGTAATAAAAGATCAATCTTTTCCTTGTGTAATTCTTTATTCCTGGCAATTACTGTCATTCCAACTTGGTTCAGAAGTCCATCCTCTCATTTCATCCTCTTTTTACTTTCAATAATAATAACAGCCAAGGGCTTCCCTGGTGGCGCAGTGGTTGAGAGTCCGCCTGCCGATGCAGGGGACACGGGTTTGTGCCCCGGTCGGGGAAGATCCCACATGCCGCGGAGCGGCTGGTCCCGTGAGCCATGGCCGCTGAGCCTGTGCGTCCAGAGCCCGTGCTCCGCAACGGGAGAGGCCACAACAGCGAGAGGCCCGCGTACCGCCAAAAATAAAAAATAAAATAACAGCCAACTTTTACATTGGACTTTTGAGCACATTAACTTACGTTATGCCAGACGAGATTCAGAATGTGTTAAATGCACTTACTCCTTTACTCTTCTTATGAGTATGTAAAACAAGACTTTTATTTCCATTTTGTGGATGAAGAGATTATGACATCAAGAGGTATCTCAGGGACATGCAATGGGTTTAAGCAGCAGAGCCAGGACTAGAGCCCAAAACATCTGCATCCAGCACCCGTGCTTCTGAACCCCATGTCCAAGCGCCTAGGTAAGCCGTGCAGGGCTGCCTCCTTCACTCTGTCTTGCCAAATGCTTTATCTGAAATATTGGCCAAGTCTGGCCTCTCCTTACTATTCTTGCCTCACAATAACTCAGACCCTTGATATCTCCCCAGTCCACCTTATACACAGCTGCACAACAGCTGCCTTAGTCCAGTCACCACTCCACTTCTCAGAAAACGTCAGTGATTCCCCATGGCTTGACTCGTCCTAGCATTGTGGGTTTTTCATGAGCTCATCTCAATCTATCCATCTTATTTATTTCCCTATACTCCCTGCCACAAATGCTACAAATCTTCTTCTCTGACATAGTCAACTTCCCACCTTGGTAGTCTGCTCTGTCCTTTAGCATTTTCCAGCATCATTTCCACATCTACATATCCACCGATGTTCACATTTGAACTCAGATGCCACCCTCCCCAAAAAGACTTCTCCAGACTCCCCACTGTAGGCAAACACTTTCCTCTGGAATCCCATAGTGTTTTCCCCACATTTTTCTTATTGCACTTATCACTTTACTAGAGTGATTTATAACAGGTCTTATGGTCTGCCGTATTGAGAACTCTGTGTGACATGTTCTATGTCTGGTTCACCTTTGTTTCCTCCTCCAAGAGAGTCTAGTAAGATTCCCTGCCATAGTAGCACTAAATAAGCTGTCGAAAGCACTTATACATACAGGAAACCAGAGTTATGGAGGAAGGTGTGCAAAGGTGGTGCATGGAGTGGGGTCTCTTGCCCCATGCATCCCCATGCTTTAGCTTCCAAGGGTGTGAACCTCCAGGGGTCTGCCCTCCTCATGGTCTCCACCACACTCCTTAGCCCTCCTTCCCATCGCCCAATCCTAAAGGACATCTGCCACGCACAGGGATTGATTGAAGGTTTGGCATGCCTTTAACAGTCTTCCAACACTTAGCCTAAAGGCAAAAGGACAGAGAGGAGGAATAAGGGTCCCTTTCCCAAACCTCACTGCTAGCAAATCAAGACAGACCTTTTGATGGCGAGTCATTCTGTGTAAGAAGATATTCTGTGATCCGAACTAGACTAAGTATATGGATATATGGTTTTGGAATCTGATAAAATAACTCTTTAAATGGAAAGTGGGCAAAAGGGGTCTCCTTTACCTTTCGGTGTGTGGGTGGTTGAATACAAGAAGATTTAATGTTTTTTTGTGTGTCTGTGCCTGTGCTTATAACAAGTAATTTTTATTTCTGACAGTGATTTCTTTTTCAGATATTTGTTCAATAGAATTTACCCAAACACAAGACACATTCAGATATGTGAACAGACACTGTTCACTCACTTAAGATGCGTCTTTATAGGGAACTGTTAAGTGTTATCACTTGAGCAAGCATTATTGTGAGAAGTGTGGAGGACCCCAGATCACCTCTTATTAAAGGAAAAGTGATGACAAAAGTCTCTTGGTAAAAACTTCCCTCTTAAACAGCCCTCCACACACAGAGCTCTTCTTATCCAAGCCCCCCCAGGACTGAGGCTGGGTTTCTTTTATATCCTCACAAAGTCTAACACATGTTGTCTATACACAGAGACAGGCTGGCAGTCTTTTTCGAACAAAAATTTCTATCTGACGTATTTTTATTCATATATTCATTAGATGAAGCACATGTCCCGACATGCTCCGTTTAAATCAGGGATTGTCCACCTTGGAACTACTGACATTTGGGGCCAGATAATTCTTAGTTGTGGAGGAGCTGTCCTGTGCATTGTGGGATAGGTAGCAGCATCCCTGACCTCCACCCACTAGATGCCAGTCGCATCCCCCAATTGTGACATCACAAATCTCTCCAGACACTGCCATTTTCTCCTGAGGCAAAACTGCCCCCAGTTGAGAATACCGGGGTTAGATTAATACCACAAATATTTACAGCATGCTTCCTCTGTGCCAGGTATTATGCTAAGCAAATGCTTATATTGCTTATATGCCTAAGTGCATATGTTGGCTTATTTAAGATTTATAACCCTCTGAGGTAGGTACTGTTACAGTTACCCCCACTTTGAAAGGAAATGGGAACTGAGGGTTTAAGTGATTTGCCCAAGGTCACACAGCTGGTAAATGGTAGAGCTGAGATTAGAACCTGGGCACAACTGACTAAGTCTATGCTTCCCCCCCCACCGCCCAAGAATAAGTTTGTGTGTGTGTGATAAAATATGCATAACATAAAATTTACCATTTTAACAATTTAAAAGTGTGTAATTCAGCAATTCAGTGGCATTACGTACATTCACAAAGTTCTGCAATCATTCCCACTATCTAGTTCCAGCACATTTCCATCACCCAAAATGAAACCTTTTACCCAATTAAGCAGTCACTCACCATTCCCCTCCCCCTCCAGCCTCTGGCAATGGCTAATCTGCTTTCTCTGTGGATTTGCCTATTCTGAATACTTCATGTAAATGCAATCATGCCATCTATGGTCTCTTGTGCCTGGTTTCTTTCAGTTAGCTTGTTTTCGAGATTCATCCATGCTGTAGCACCTATCAGTACTTTATTACTTTTTATTGCTTAATAATAATCCATCGTATGGATGTGCCACGTTTTGTTTATCCGTTCTCCAGTTGATGCACCTTTGGGTTGTTTTCACCTGTTGGCTATTGTGAATAGTGCTGCTAAGAATATTCTCGAACAAGTTTTTGTTTGAACACCTGTGCCAGTTCTTTTGGGGATAACAGTAAATCTATGCTTTTAACCACCCTCTAAACGACCTCTCATCCAAATAAAGTTCACATTTTAAAATATTCAGGAATTAAATGCCAGAATTACTCTCTTCCCCATTGTTAACCTGTTAACAACTCAGGGCTGGTGCTCCCTGGTCTGGTTTTTAAAGAGGAGACTTTTTTTCTCCCCGAGTCCTCTGCCAAAGCAGCCATGACTTAAGATACTTCTGGAAGTAG